ACCCCCTTGGCAACCACAAGTCTGTATTCTATGTCTATGAGTCTGTTTCTGTTTTGTATGTATGTATGTATGTATGTATGTATGTATTTTTTAGATTCCACACATGAGTGATCTCATATGGTATTTTTCTTTCTCTTTCTGGCTTACTTCACTTAGAATGACATTCTCCAGGAACATCCATGTTGCTGCAAATGGTGTTATGTTGTCAGTTTTTGTGGCCGAATAGTATTCCATCGTATAAATATACCACTTCTTCTTTATTCAGTCATCTGTTGATGAATTTAATTAAACTTGGATTTCAGAGCACTGTTTCACTTGAGATATTTGCACATGCTAGCAAACTAACAAACCTAAAGAAGTAAAAATTGCTTTTCCCCTTTCTAACTGCTTATTCAGCACCTTTCTCTTCTTGCACTAAGTATAGTTAACACAGAGAAACATACATAAGCATTAAAAATGCAAAAAAATACTTAATAAGGAACTGGTATTACAATTTGCCAGTTTTCTCTATCCCCTTTTGATGCAGAAAATAAAACATTATACACCTGCCATTCACTTCTAGATGGGAGCAGGTCAGCCAGCACAGCCTGACTATTAAAAGATTAATTGAGTGGCCTGTTTGTTTAGATAGTCTCTCAAGGTCATTAACAACTTCTCCTTTGACAAATTCTTTTCTCTGACCTCACTTTGTGGATCGCCGCTGAAGCACTGGATGGTTCTCCAGTCTCCCTTCTAATACGCTTGCGTGACCCCGCAGTTTTCTGGTTCCCTTCCAACATCTCTGTTCCTTCTGCAGTCTTCTTCATGAGATCCTCTTCTCCCACCAGTAACTTATATCTAGATGCTTCCTGAAAGAGAACGTGTTAATGGCCTGATTATTCTCCCCCACCCTGTATTCATACTCTTTGCCATGTGTCTGTGAAATTCTTCCCAGTGAAGACAGGGAGTATATTTCCCTTATCCTTAGCTGTGGGTTCAGGCATGTGATTCTTTGGACAAATTCAAGGTTAATGGACGTGACATGGGATCCTTGGGTGACTGGGCTTGCCTTCCTGTGCCTCGGCTGTTGCCATGGGAAGAACATGCCCAGGCTAGTCCTGGTCCCAGGAGAGTCAACCTGCTGGTGCCAAAAGAAGGATCAGAGACACTAGAAACAGAGCTCAGCCAGGGGCAGCTGACCGCAGATCCATGGAGAATAAATGACTGCTGCCTTAGCCACCGGCTACTGAGATGGCTTGTTATGCAGCTCTGTAGGAGGCGACGGACACAGTAGACATAGAGAATGATTCACTGATTACTCCTTGAGACTCCGTGATCCTCCATTACCAAACTGGGCTTTTAGCTGATGGTCTAGGGGTTAAGCTGATCTGTTGTCTGATAAAAATAAATAAATAATAAAATGCAATGATAAATAATATGATTATTAATAAGTTAAATAATAAATGATAAATAAGCTATCATTTTTAAAGCTCCTACTGTGTTTCAAGGGTCTTGCTAAGAACTTTACATGCATTATACTTGAAACTCATAATTTTCCAGAAATAAAAGATAGGATTATGCTTAATTATAAAGGTATAAACTGAGGCTCAGGGAGGTAAAGTGACTTATCCATACCCTCGAAATAAGGATTGGTTCTCGCCTAGAGATATTGGAGAGAGTGTGGCCCTGCCGATACCTTAATTCTGTACTTTTGCCTTCAGAACTATGAGACAATACATTTCTGTTTTTTTAAGTTATGTAGTTGGTGACATTTTGTTACAGCAGCCCTACAAAACGAGTAGGTGGGGCTCAAGTCAAGGTGATAATAATGCCACGTTCCTTTTGGAGAATCGAGGGTAGAGCCCATCCCTTTCTTTTTCCAGCTTCCAGAGGCTGCTTGCATTCCTTGGCTCTTGGCCACATCACTCTCATGTCCACTTTCATTGTTACATCATTTCATCTTCCTCTCCTGTCCTGCCCCCCACTCCCATTATGCAGACTCTTGTCATTACATTGGACCTATCTGGATAACCCAAGATTCTTAATTTAAACACATCTGCGAAATTCCTTTTGCTGTGTCAGGTAACATATTCACAGGTTCCAGATATTAGACATGGACATATTTGGGAACTATTATTCTGCCACCACAAGAGGTGGTCCCAGGAAGCAGGAATGGGGGAGAAGGGAGTGAGACAGACAGAAAGAAAAGCCAATATAAGAGTATATCCCCTGGAAGCAACAGGGGATAGATTCTGGCAGGATCTCCTGATTCACCTACCGAACGTCCCCAGCATTTCCTACCTGGGCAATGGGCAGCTGGGGCATTTATTCCATGGCCTCCTCCCCCTTTAGTTGAGGCCTGTTTATGGGAACGCTGGTTTCCCCGCACTTCTGGGCTGCATTTTCATGTTGGCTGGGGAAGCTACCATGACACCAGAGAAAACCAGGGCTTGTGGTGGGAGATTTCAGGCTTGTCTAGAACTATCACTATCCACTAAAACTCTGGATGAAATCAGAGATGGGCCAGGGATATGTGATGCAAGACACAGAGGCATCTGCTTCAAGGCGAGTGCTCAATGCGGCTTGCCAAAAATCCGTATACTATCCAGCACACATTTCCCTGGCAATTGCTTAGAATTTGAGATCGAATTTTAAGTAACAGCCCTAGCCTATTTCTAATCTGCTACCATAAAACTATGTGTTTTTTGTTCAACAAATAGGCTCAAAGGGCTGTTATCTAACATGACCATCTCACTGAAGGCTCAGGGCAAGGTTTGCCATGGAGCTAAGGGGCAAGTTTGCTTTTAAGAGGATGAATATTATCAGTGTCAAGCATTAGACAGCATCAGGTCAGAAAACAAGTTGTGTGCGTGTGTGTGTGTGAGACCAGGAAAGGGTCACAGAGGCAGACACAGTGGGAAGACATTTGCCAGGTAGACCAGAAGTTCATTCTAAGAATTGAATTTCTGGCTTATTGAAATTCTGTCAAAGAATTCAGTCTAAGAAAAACAAAGATTTTAACCCAGATTCTCTAGTTACAAATCCTCTCCTCTTTTCTCTACTCCAGAGTGAGGGTCGAGAGGAGAATGTTCATACTTATCAAGGATAGGTAGGCAGTGTTCAGCCCTCCTCTGTCTGCTCTTGGCAGGAGAAGGGCAGGGCAGGCTTCCAGCTGTACTAAGGGTCTTCCACAGAGGAGAAGGCATCTGGAGGAGAGGCAGGCTCCCAGTGACCAGGACCAGATGAGCAGAAGAAGAGCTGGATTTTCCTGCAGGCTCAATGTTGTCAGGCATCGTGCCCTCGCCCCAGGTACCCTCTGATGCAGGATCTTGGTGAATGAGCTCTCTAAGATGACATTTGACTGTTCTCGCTCTGTTCTTCGGAGACAGCTTGCCTGTCTGTCTCTCCTTCTCCCAGGTTTTGCAGCTCTCTGTGGATGTTTTTCCACTCAGTGTCTGTAATCCTTTTTTTCCTCAACTCTATTCAGCAAGATCCAAAGCTATTTATTTTTCTAGATGTGTCCTGAACAGAAGCCTCTGACCTTTTGCTCATACTTTGGACATTTTGATTACCTTTCCTGCCAGCTAGTTTATCACAGAGGTTCAAGCCCTGTTCTCCCCCACATTGCCTGATACCTTTCCTCACCAAAACCTTGGGTGTTTTGCGGGAGTCATGCAGCCAAAGAGTTCAGGTCAAGCACCGCAGCAGCTTCCTTTTCCCAGCTGTTCTCTTCTAAGTCCCCTGACTGCGGTTTCACTGACTTTCCTTCTTGTCATTTCCAGGGGAGCATTAAACAATCTTTTTTGGAAACCAGTCCAAATCCAAGGTCCTAGTCTCCAGTAGTGGAAAGAGCATTCTATTTCATGCAAAATTCTGGTTTGTTGAAATTTTGTAAGGAAATCTTTGTCAGTCTAAGAGCCATTGTGCACCGTCAGATTCCTCCTAGCTATGAACACTTGTTCAGTCTTGTAGAAACAGCTAGAGTCAGGTGGAAAGGTAATATGACTTCGGAGCCCCCATTCCCAGTGACCATGCTAAACCCAGTCTACCTACTACACTCTGGGGACCAGAGGAAATGTCTCCTTAGGGAATCACAGAAAAATTAAAAGCCACATTGAATTAGTAGCCTGGGGCTGCTATGTCTGGCTTCTCCACAGCCCTGCCAACTGGCCACGTGGGTGAGAGGCCCACAATTAACATGGGGTTTAAAGCCAAATCAAGGAGGAAGTGTTTTTAGTATTATTGTGCCGTTTACATTTGTCCAGAGAACCTAATAAAGCGGCACATCAGCACATCTGAAAATCAGAAAAACAAATTAAAGGAGAAACGAAACACCAGGCTGGAGCTTGAACTCAGCCTTCCAGGGCTAGACCGTAGTTATTCTAGAATTAGGAAACTGTGCCTTTGAACTTGAGTCCTTGGACACAGCATACTTTCCAAGATCATTTCTTCCTGTGCTACATTATTTAGTAAAGTTTTTGTTTTAGATGATGCTAACCTGTCTCAGCGGAACTGAAGAGCACAGAGGGAAAAGACCGGACCTTGAAAGAGGGAATATGATTCCTTGGAGGCTGAGTGTGATGGTAGCAGTAGGGATGGGAATGAGAGAAGTGAAGTTGGGGGGCCACTGCCTGTAGCCATCACCTTCTGGGGAGGACCTTTCTAAAGCTCTTCGCATCAGAAACAGCGGCCCAACTGGTGATGGTGGGAGATGGCTTCTTTGAACAAGGGGTTGTCCCCTTGTTGTAGCTGTGGTTAATGGACACACCTCTTGGTGGATCTGTTCAGTAACAGTCTCCAGAAACCCATGTGGTTTCTGGCTAATGTTAGTGCCAGAAGCCTTTTAAATTTGTTGGTAACAGAGGCACGGAAATAGCCACTGGCCAACCACCCTAGCCAAGTAACACTTAACACTGACAAGTAAAACAGCAGCTGGTTTCATTTTGTGAGTTCCCGAAGTGCTTCCCAAGGATCATAGGCAATGAGCGTGGAAAATTGTTAAGGCTCTGTAATTATTTCAGTGTCACCCATTTGGGAATTAGCTGCTCCACCATGAATTACAAACCCTTCAAAGACTTGAGGACAGTACCCGGAAGCGTAAAGACTCCAACACACAGCCCGAGGAACAAGGACCTTTCTGAAGCTCCTCTGGTGGCATCTTACTTGGATCACTCCTTGACCCCACATTCTCTCAGCAAATTGTGACCATAAGCTGCTGCGGGTTCTTACAAGTGTTTGTCAGAAATCACGTAAGTGCTTTCTTGCTAAATGTTTCTAGTGTTTTTGGTGTGAATGTTGCGATAAATTAAAGATGGCCACACATTCTTTACTCTTCCTACCTTTGAGAGGTGGAGTCCAATTCTCCTCCCCTTGAATCTCAGCTGAACTTGATGACCTGCTTGACCAATAGGATGTGGTGGAAATGGTGTTCTGGGAACTTTGAGACTAGATCCCAAGAAGCTTTACAATGTCTACCTGGATTTCTTGGAATACACTCCTGGGAGCCCCACCCCACCATGCAAACTAGACAGCTACTGGGAGGCTGCTTTGCTGGAAAGACCGCATGTAGGCAGTCTGGTAGATAGTCCCAGTTGAACCCTTCCTTCTAGATATGCCTGCCAGGGTGCATGACTAGTAGTGAGTGAAGCCTTCTTGGAGCCTTCAGACCAGCCCATCACAAGCTGTACACCACCAAGTGTTACTGAGTCCAAACTCATTCTGCTCCCTGCACGACAGGCCAGTCAATCGGGAAATGAGGTGTTGGGGCAAGGAATAATTACTTTATTTGGAAAGCCAGAAGACCAAGAAGATGGGGGACTAATGTCCTAGGGAGCCATCTTACCCAAGTCAGAATTGAGGCTCCTTTTATACTAAAAAGGCGGAGGAGGTGTGGTTGCTTGTTGCAAACTTCTTGGTGTCAGAATCCTTTGTCCTTGCTGCTGTCCACGTAGGTCAGGTCATGATGTTCCTGTAATCCTCCAACAAGACAAATGTTATTCTCTGTTCTTCAACTAAAAAAAAAAGCTCTATATGAATAGAAAAGTGTTATATCCTTAAAAATCATCAAAAACTTCTGACCCACAGAATCTCATGCTATAGTAAAAGGGTTGCCCCTTAAGCTATTGAGTTTTGGGGTGGTTCATTACACAGCAATAAATAACCAGAACAACTATCTAATCAGCTATAAATTCCTGGAAATTAGTGGATTTTACTTCCTTTTATTTTCATTGCAACTGTTCTTTCCCAACACTTAACTTCACTGTTATCCACCAAAATACCTTGCTATGCACTAAAGAGAAACCTAATGAAGTTTTCTGAACTAAATGTATTTTAGTCTGGCTCTTCCTGTTTTATTAAACTCTAAGATAATCCCTCATTTTTATAGTGAAGAGATTCATTTCAGATCCAAAAAAAAAATCTGATTTAATTTGCTAATTTCCTATGTATTTTAGATGATCAGTTCATGGGTTTAATATTTCCCTTATCATCTTCACAATGACTTCCTACTAAAAGGAAATGTGACTTTTATTTACACTGCACTTCATTTGCATTATTTGGGACCATTTGAAAGCCAAGTCTGATGGCTGACCACAACACAATGAAGGTAG